TATTGAAAATTACGTTTTTGAAAGGATATCTGTGATACCTGTGATATGTTCCTCCTGCTGGTGGAAGAAGGACAGTTTTTATAGAAGTCTTCTCGGACGTGGATGCAAACGAAATCCCCGGGAAAAAACTCGATTTGACGATTCTTGCAATATTCGTGGTCCAGGCTGAAGGAACCGACTGGATTTTCACTGGTTCCAACCCACCACTTCACATGTAAATCGTGTATAGTAAACTCGTCACTTTCATCGACAGCCTCTGTAGCGCTTTCCATGGCAAGAACAGGTTCCCAAGCAGTGATGTAGCTCTCTAAACACGAGTAGCTTGCTCGAGATGCTCGGTATTTTACCGTCGTGGCAAAGCACTCTCTTGGATATTTGCGGTGTTCAATGCAAATGTGGACCTTGGAATTAATCTTGAAAAGCTGAATTTGCGGATGTAACATTCCTTGTGTCATGTGGGCACTTAACTGAACGTTTACCATGTCAAAGGTCGCCAGAGACAGTCGCCTTTCATGAAAGTGCTCCGTGTTTGAACCCCTATTCTCATTGTTGCGTGGAGGAAACCGTTTTCTGAGAGCCCTTTGGTGATCTTCAGTCTTTGTAATCAACGTCTTAGCTTCCACATAGTCGTTGTTTTGAACAGCTTCCAAGAGCTTCATCCAGTTGTCCACCTTCAAGCTTAGGACTTCCTTTGTGGCAGCCAATCCTTCATTTAATAGGGAAACAACTTCATTTCTTTCGATTTCTAGATTTTCGATGTAGTCCTCCAAGGACTCACTCTCTTTTGGAGCAATGTATAGCCTTAATTTCCATATAAAGACTACTTCTGATATATATGGCATGAAATCATATAGGTTGAGATCGCTGAATTTAATTTCCCTCTCTTTTTTGGACAAACGGTCGTATTCTTGACTCGTTATTTCTAACCTAATGCTCTTATCTTCGATCATTGCGATGACTGCTTTTGTTTCGCGGCTTGCTTCTTTAAGCTTGGCAGCCAAATGAACTTTACTACTTGCTCTGTCGAACTTCTTGCTGTTCCGCTGAGCAAACGTGGAACGACGACACACCTTAGCTACGTAATCCTTTCGGTATCTTTCTGCACCGTGGTCGTTGGAGATTAAACCCAAAACGAGTCTGTGTACTTGAATGTCAATGTACCGTCGAATGGGTGAAGTGAAATGTGTATAGCCGTGCTCCCCCAGGGAGAAATGCAAACTATTTTCTCGTGGATGACCTCTCTCACAGACATAACAGGACTTTTGCTGAATGCGTTGAAACTGAAGATTTGCAACAGCTAGCTGAGGATACTTTCTTTCTGTAAAAATCAGCTGCTGTAGCTTTGCTTTGTCATCAGATTCTACAGCGCTGCAGATTTCTGACCAAACGGAATCTTGCACTTTGAATTCCGTGATCTCTCTCATTTGGTTATCCTCGGTCATCTTCTCGAGATGTTGCTTGCCGCGGAGAAACAGAGAACACTTGATAAAATGCCCGTATCGACTCAACCAATCTTTCAATTTGTAATCTTTTGGTGGCAGTTGGGTGCGCAGCGGTGCCATCTCCGGAATAGTAGTGAGAAGAAGGTGACCTATTTTCTCGTTGGCCAAAATCATCATTTCCTCCACTAACTCATGTGCTTCATAACATTCTGGCTCATCACTGTCTGACCAATGGTCAAAGCTAGCTTCTCGGAGTCTTAATTTTCTTCTTCTTTGCGCTAGGACACTCAGGGCCTGAATATCACTTTCAACACTTTTGGGGAATTGCTTGCGTGAGCTTCGTTGAGCATCAATAACTTTTTGGGCGTCAGAGTAGGTAAGCTGACGAGAGGACGTTACGATTGTGCGTTTGATCTGTGGCTCTCCCAAACATTTTCCATCTTCTGACATGTCAAGAAACACTGATAAACATAAACGATCTTTACCAGGAAGAAGGCTGCAATGTTTTTCACTGAGATCAGGTGGTAACATTGGAACATTTTGATACTCATTCCCAGGGTAATAGGATATGCAGCGAAACAATGCTTCTTTATCCAAATAGCTACCAGCCTCTACAAAGTAACTCACGTCTGCGATGTGAATTCCTACCCGGTACACAGTGCTCGAAAGCAATTCTAGGGAAAGTGCATCATCGAGATCCTTAGAGTTTTCAGGATCTATTGTAAATGCTCCTTTAACTACTTCGCGGTTGTTTCTTTCGTGAGCTGGTATTGACCACGACGAGGGGAACTTCGTTCGCACTTCCCTTTTACAATCATCGCTGAATGACTTTCTGATACCATGCTCTGCTAGAAGAATCTCCATACTGGCCTTCCAAGTATATCTTTTCGGCAATTTTCGAATGATGATACCTAAGGGGTAAATGCAATCTGACCTCCACTGTAGAAACTGCACGAGGAACAGGTATTTTCCACTAAGGAATTCTTCGTGGTCCATCTCGCAGACTTTTACTTTCTTCCCGTTTCCCTCGCGCAATTCCTTGTAGAGTGGTACACCTTCAACGCTATCTGCAGATAATATCACGATTTTTGACATGGACTTATTGATTGGAAGCATCAAATTTGGATTGTGGAAATTGACCTTGCAGACAAACTGTCGTTCGTGAGGGCTGATAATGTGATGAAGCACACCTATAAAGAAGATGGACAAAAATTAAGGCCAAATTAAGACATTTTATTTGCTGAATAATAAATCATAACAGCAGACATTTATGATAACTAGGTCTTGTATCAGCAATATAGGCCTATACCTTGTGGAAAACGATAGGTGTAGTTTCTTGCCTTGTAGTGAAGCTTGCGGTGCACCAGTTTAAAAAAACCAAACTACAGCAGAAAGTAAGTTAAACTTACCTACAATTTCCCCCTGATAGCGAGGAACTGCATCAATGGAATTTGACTGATTTTCTGAAATATTGACGACAACTTGATCCATGTCGAAAACCCTTTTAACTCTTCCTTTGATTCGTATGTCTGGTGTTTGCGTGTCCGGCACAGTAGCAAATGCCATGTTGAAGGCCTCGGAGTCGAGATGAAGTGTACTGGCACGATAAGTTTTAGGTTGTTCACGAATAAATTTCAGTAATACCTCTGGGTGAAGGTATTCATCTTCCTTGACTTGTCCCGTTGGCCTATTATGTCGATTAGAATGCGTTTGATGATACCCGAAGTTTACCAGGCGAGCCTGTACCCTACCTTTAGCATCAAAGGAGAATTGGTAGTCATCAGACGAAAGACCAGATAAACTGGAATTTTCTCGACTGCTTCGATTGCTGTGTTTGATTCCTTTGTCGAAATCGTTTGTCACTTTGTATCCTTTCCGGTTGATCGACTCTGCATTCCTCAGCGAGGGGAATTCTTCATTCTTTAGCGATCGTTGAAGCTCCCTCTCCTGGGTTTCTTTTTTCGTGGCCACGAGTGCTTCAATTACTTTGTCAAAGGAGCTTGGAAGCACTGTTTCGTCTTCACAACCTTCCCGTCGAAAGTCTTCAAAGGGGATTAAATTACTTAGCTCTGCGTCATCTTCGTCTTCTTGGTGTGGAAATGAATCACCTTGCGAATATTGTTCCAAAGACCCATCAGTTTTACGCTCCTCTTCGTCTTTAGATGAAACCTCTTTTACATTCAGATGATTCTTCGGCCGATCTGTTTTACTTCCTGACACGGTCATTGGACTAACGAGGCTGTGTTCAGCTAAACTTTCTTCTCCCAACTCGATGGTTTCTGTATCTTCCGCACCTCGTGAGCGATCGCATACAAACGGTTTGAGGCCTCCATCGCTACTTGGAACGAAAACAGCCGCCTCGGGGTTTAGAGATATCTTAGAAAGAGGGGTAGCTATAGCTTCCTCTATCGCTGTATATGAAATTCCAGACAGAGATCCATCTTGTTCACATCTTCTGATAAAATCCCGCCAATTACTCCTACACTCACCAACAGTACACAAGGAGACAGCATCTCCAACGACTGCTACCAAAGACATAGCTCTGGTTACCGCCGTGTTTAAGAGCTTAGGGTCAGAAAAGAACTCCCAGTAGAATCTTTGATCATTACGTTTGTGAAATTGAGGGAATGTGAGGGATGTACGTACAGTGCTGATGAATAGGGCACGGAATTCTTTTCCTGTGGTATAGAAAATATATGTGATATCATATTTTGTATTTGTTTGTTATCTTTTTATTCAGTATAAACCAAAATTTCTGATTCTTAGCTACCTTGGACGTTATAGATTGTTTCCACTGTGACTTTCTCAAGCCCCTCGCCTTCCCTTCTGAGAGCTTGTCGGATTAATTGAACCTGTAAGTGAAAACAGAAATGAATAGGAAAATCTGACTTACTGTGTCAGTTTAGGCTAATAAGCGATACCCATTATATTTTTAAAATATTGACACAGCTACTCTACGAAATTCAGCTTTATATTTTGTGTCTTGATCACTTTTTCGTTTTCTTCAAACTTAGGCTCACTGTGAGAAACCAGAGTGGAAAAGAACTGCTACCGGTTCTTCTTAATGCAAAAGGGCACTTATTACGAAATGGTCATGAATGCATGATAACACACTGATCAGCTCCGTGTGTTGACCATTTTAATGCCCTGCGATCAGCCCAACTTTATTTTCTTCATGGACTGATGGTTTTAAATGGAACAACGATCAACCTTTACTCATTAAAAGCTTTCACAAAAATTACCTGACTTAGGTATGCCGAGACGACGCCTATTTTAGTGAGATCCTTTTCTTTCCACTCCACTGGCCAGTCACCTGCGAGCTCCTTGACTCTCTTTACAATTTCATCTACTTCTACTGTGTTTATGTACGAATTCTCTCTGGCTTCTTCCATACCGGACACAGAATAGAATAATAATGGTTTCGACCTTGGGTGTTGAGGTTCTTCGCTCCTCGCGATCAGCCCCTCTTTGTAGAAGTTATGTGAGGAAAACTGCAGAATTTTTGGATGACACCGATAGTTTTCCGTCAGAATTACCACATTGCAATTTGACGGTTGCTCTGCGCTATACAAGTGATCAAACAATCTCTCAGGGAGCGACCTCTGCAGACCCCAAGCACGAGCATGATTCGAATACACTTCAGGACTCATCTGGAAATAATAATAAAACAAATTTATGAAAAGCATTGTAATCGGAAGGGAATCATATATGTGCATGGTCACCCCAATCATTTCAACAAAATTAATGGTTAAATAATTGCTAATGGTACTAAGAAATTTACCAAAATTTGACTGACAATGATATTTTTGTTATTTCTTAATGTGTTATCACTACCATAGTTGACCTGCCTTAAAATTAGCTCTAAGAAGGGACGTTAGAACTGAAAATATCTTACTCCAAAACATTAATTGAAAACCAGTGATAACAAAATTGTACCTGCATATGATCTCCAGTAAAGACAACCTTTGTATTTGGTCCAGCTAACGCGAGTGGTATTAGTGCCTCAGGTTCCAGGGCTTGGTAAGCCTCGTCAATCAAAATATGTGTAAAGAATCCATGATTTAATCGAAGCTCTAGAAGATGGCGTGATACAGCTAGTGTGGCGATCACAACACGACGCAAAATAACATCCTCTCTTGTGGGAAGTACATAGGCGCCGTCTCTTATAAGGCCATACCTCTTAGCTATATCTAAATCAGCATTTAATCTAAAATTGTGCAAG